CCATTCGTTCTTTTCCTTCCATGACAAAATCTTTTGGTTGTGCCATGTAAATATTTTCCTCCAAGTCCCCGTTGAGAAATGCCGTCTTTACATCCATCTGATGTAATTTTAAATCGTAATGTGCCACTAATGCCATTATAATTATGAAGGAATCCTTACATGAGACTAGAGAAAAGGTCTCATTGTAATCAATCCCTTCTCTTTGCGTAAAGCCTTTTGCCACAAGTCGCGCTTTATATTTCTCTATATTCCCTTGAGAGTCAAGTTTTGTTTTGTAGACCCATTTACAATCTACTATTTTGGCTACTTTAGGAATTATTTCTCAGTCCCAAACTTTATTGGCATTCATAAATTTCATTTCATCTTCCATGGCCTCAAGCCACTTTGATGAATGATCACTTCTCATGGCTTCTTCAAATGAGGTGGGATCATCCTCCATTTGAAATTCCTTAGTGTTGTATACTTCATAGTCAGCAGGAATAGCTGATTTTATAACTCTTAGAGACCTTCTAGGGGCCTCCACATTTGGCACATCTTCTATTTGAGGTTGTTGTTGCTCCCCTCATGTGTGACAATAGGTTCTATAGGATCCTAAAGAACAGGTTCCTCATCGTCATTCATTGTTGCTACAGGCGGAATAACAACAGGTGCTGGCACCACAGTATCTTGCACTGTCGGTGCAGCGACAGCAGGTAGTGAGAAAAATGGCTCTTGAATCATTGGAGTGGGCGCATACACCCGCTTCTCTTCAAGGTCAATTTCTCGAGCTACCATGCTCCCCCTCATCATTTCATCCTCTGGGAAGACAGCATCTCTCGTTTCCACAAACTTTATATGTCTGTCTAGATAGTAGAAACGAAAACCTTTTGACTTTTCTAGGTAGCCAATGAAATGGCAACTTACTGTTTTGGGATCCAGCTTCCCAATGTTTGGGTTAAATACTTTAGCCTCAGCAGGACTCCCCCACACACGTAAGTGGTTTAGTGAGGGTACTCTTCCTGTCCACAACTCATACGGTGTTTTGGGCACCGACTTACTTGGTACTATATTGAGAATATGAATGGTGATTTTTAACGCCTCCATCCATAGGCTCAATGGTAAGGTGGAGTAACTTATCATACTGTGCACCATATCCATCAGGGTACGATTGCGTCTTTCAGCTACTCCATTCTGCTGAGGTTCACCCGGTGTAGAATACTGGGCTACTATGCCATTCTCCTGTAAGAACCTTGTAAAAGGTCTAGGAACTTGGCCATATGGGGTATGCCAACCGTAGTACTCTCCCCCACGGTCAGACCTGGCTATCTTAATCTTTAAATTATGTTGGTTTTCAACTTCTGCCTTAAATATCTTAAATTTATCCAATGCTTCTGTTCTTTCTTTGATTGGATAAATGTAGCCATAACGGGAGTAATCATCTGTGAATGTTATGAATGAATCATAACCATCCACACTCTTTACAGGAAATGGACCACAGATGTCTGTGTGAATAATCTATAAAATTCCTGCGCTTCGTTTGGCACCTTTCTTAATTTTCTTTACATACTTTCCTTTTATGCATCCTCTACATTGTTCTAAATCTGAGAACTCTAATGGAGGAAGAATATCAATCTTAACTAGTCTTTCTATTCTCCCCCTCGAAATATGGCCTAAACGACAGTGCCATAATTTCGACGATGCATCGTGAGCTCTCTTTCATTTTTTGTTTACATCCGCAGACGAGGATACATTCTCATTGTCGAACGCAACTTTCCCATCATCACATACAACATTCACATCATCACGTAGTGATAATAAATAAAACTCATTTTGTAAGATAGCAAAACCAACACATGCATTATTAAATGTTATCTTACATTTGCCATTTCCAAAATGGCAATCATATCCATCATTGTCCAAGCATGAAACACTAATCAAGTTTCTCTGTAAAGAGGGAGCATAAACTACATCTCTAAGTAAAAGTGTGAAGCCATCAGCAAGCTCTAGAGAAAGATCGCCAACGGCTTTAACATCTGCTCAGACTTCATTTGCAACTTTAACATGTCTTTCTCTTCTTTGCGTAGTCCTCGTCGAACGAAATCCTTGTAAGGAATTAACAACATGAACAGTTGCACCTGAGTCAATCTACCAAGTAGATTTCAAATACTGTACATACAGGGATTCATTTATGAACGTAATAATGTTCTCACATTTCTTTGCCATGATCATCTTTAAGTAATCGGGACAATCTTTCTTATAATGTCCCATCTTCTTGCAATAGAGACACTGGTCTTTCTCTACTGTAAACTTGTTCTGTTGAGGCTGATGCAGCATGGGACCCTTTCCCTTTGACTTTGAGGAGGAGTTAGCATTATTATTCTTTTTCTTGTTGTCTTTCACATAATTGATAGTGCCATCATTGGCAGCTTTCATTCTCTCCTCCTCTTGCACACACATAGTCATGAGCCTCTCTAAGTCCCACTTCTCGGGCTGTATGTTGTAGTTGACAACAAAAGTGTCAAATTCCTTTGGCAAGGAAACAAAAATCAGATGGATAAGGAACTCTTCCTTGAGAGCCAGATCCATTGGTTTTAGCTTGGATGCCAAATTGCTCATCCTTAGTATGTGCTCTCTTATGCCACCATTTCCAGAGTACCTCTCTATCACCAACTGCTTTATCAGTTGGGTAGCATATGTCTTTCAAGAGCCAGTGAACTGACTCTTTATTCTATCGAGGTACTCGGTGACCGTGTCACACTCTGGTATTGAGCCCACAATTGCAGGCTCAGTCGTGTTCTTTATCACAGCCAAACATTTCTTGTTGGCAATGACCCACTTCCTATGCTCAAAGTCATAGGACATCTTTTGGGATTCAAAATCCCTATCTCTAGTTGTCCAAGCAGCATCAGCCTCATTTGTCTCTCTCACCGGTGCCACAGGCTCAGTGGAACACTATGAGGTGACTATCCAGTCCACCTCAACCAAGATGAAGGCTAGGTCAATCTTTTTCTTTCACTCCGTGTAGTTATCACCTTTGAGAGTGGGGATCTCTTTGATACAACCCATCAAGTTGTATCCGCTAGAAAACACAATTCATATAGAGTGAGAACATAAATAATAACAACAATTGCATGCCTTGATTTCAACGTTGGTCAAAATTAAAACATACAACTGTTTATACATTAAATCTACATCATCGTTGGGTAGAAATAAAAATAATGCATAAAATCATTAAAATTATGATATTGTTATTAACAACGTTGGTCAGAAAATAACAACATCACAATCATATCAAAATCTCTTTTTCTCTAATTAAATATCACGTTGGTTCAAAATAACTGGAGAATAAACTATTTCTTTAGCAGCGGAAAACATAAAAAAATCATTATCTATTTTTTCAGAAGCATTAAACTTTTCTCAACTATTCTCTGAAAAATTATGCCGTTGGTTCAAATCTTAACAGAGATATTAAACTAGACAAATATCATAAAAATTTGCTTCAAAAAAATAAAACTTAAACTCGTATGAACACTGTTCATTTGGCCCAAAACAGCTGAAATAGTGAATTCTGGGTTGGACTGTTTCTGTTCTCGGGCGCGCTATGCTTCCCGAGCCGCAACCTGGGCTTGGGCCGGCAAAGCCGCCTGCGCGCGCGCCCACCTGGGCCGAAATGCGGTCCAGTCGCTGTCAGTCGTTCATCTGCATCGGACGGTCGCACGCGCGGTTCGGTCGAACAAAAAACCCCGCGCGGCGTCCTCCCCCGAACCCTAACGCATTCGGCTACCTTCCTTCCTCTCTCTTCGCCGAGCTCCTTCTTCCCTCTCAGCGCAGCAACAGCGAGCGACCGAGAGCGAGACGCGAGACGCAGTGAAGCATGGCGCCGTCGCCGGCCCCTTCGCCGCCGGGCGCTCCCCATGCGGGTGAGCGCGCCGCCGTCGAGCGGACTAGCGGCGATGCCCTTTGCCAGAGCTCGCATGGCTCAGCTGTCTTGTCGCGCACCGGCGAGGCGGCAGCGCGGTGAACGGCGAGGTAGGCCCCTTCCCCTTTTCCCCATTCTTCTTTTCTTCATCTATTTGATTTTTCTTTCTTTTCTTCTCGGATCTATCCGATTTAGGGTTGGGGATGGGGTTAGGGTTTCGTTCAATGTTCTTTTTCCCCGAGTTTGATTCGCGGGTTAGGGTTCGGCTTCGCGTGTCGAGACCCCTTTCTTTTCTCTGTTCTTCACCCGATTAGGGTTAGGGTTACTCTTGCTACCGGCGGCCATCGGTCTAGCTCCGGCAAGCCGCCTCCCATGCCCTTTCCTCTTTCCCCTTCTCTGTCTTTAGATCTTGCTGTGTTCTTCTCGGTTCTTTGCCGATTGGGGATTAGGGTTAGGGTTAGGGTTTCGTTAGGGTTAGTATTAACCCGATTCATTTTTTGTTCACCCGATCTAGATCTAAAAGCCCTAGAAGACTTGGCTCTGGTACCAATGTTAAGATCGAAAAAAATCATCTAGGGTTAGGTCTAGCGGGTTCTCTTTACTGTGAATGCGATGTCGAGAGTAGAAAGACATAGAGGAATAGAAGAAGAACGTGTCGAACCTGACACCGCAGAGGGAGATGGTCAAGAAGTCGCCATCTCGTTTGTCGGTGAAGTTTGCGCACGAGCAGCGATGTTTGGGGAAGAGGTCAATGAAGTCGTCGACGTCGGTGGAGCGGGGCGGCGCGGCTGGTGGCTTCCCGTCACTGGCTGCGCTCCTCTCTGATCGGGATTAGGGTTTAGGTTTCTGTGGAGAGCTCGGCTCACGGTAAACCTCGTCCTCAGAGCTGTCGCCCCCACCTCTATATATAGCGTAGTGTGATAGAGTCCTCCAGTTATAGTGGGCTGGGCGCCCCCGATCAGGACGCGGATCAAAGGATCAACTGGGCCGTTGGGCTCAATTTAGGATTAGAGATCAATCTATCTGTCTGGCCTCATAGCAAAACAGTAGAAGTAGACCAAACACAGAACTGTCAAGCTCCGCTGGCTGCAGCTCGTCGCCAATGGCGTATGCCTCTCTTGCGTCTTCTCTCTTGTGCAGCAGCAGTGCTTCTACCAGTAGAAGCGCAGCCATGCCAAGAGTAACCAGGATCCCTCTTTTCTCCATGAACCAGTACAAGACGCCTCTTCGGCCTCTTAGGAGTAGTTTAATAGTTAGGCGATCGTTGCAGCAGGAGCAAGAGCAGAGGGCGGGCTCGCCGTCCTCCGTCTCCGTGGCCTCCGGCGAGCAACAGGAGCAGGCGACGGCTTCGCATCATGTCGGAGGGGTGGATGAGGCCAAGGCGTCGGGTCATGTTGGAGAGGCAGATAAGGGAGGCCAAGGAGAAGGCGACGGCGAGGAGAAGAGGAGCACGGATGAGCAGCAGGAGGTGGACTGGAAGTCAGACGAGGAGTTCAAGAAGTTCATGGGCAATCCCTCCATCGAGGCCGCCATCAAGTTGGAGAAGAAGCGCGCCGACAGGAAGCTCCGCGAGCTGGACCGCGAGCCCGACGCCAACCCCGTCGCCGGCCTGTTCCGGGGCTTGGCAAAGGACCAGCTGGCCCGGGAGAAGCAGAGGCTGGAGCTGGCGGAGCAGACCTTCAAGGCACTCGACCTCAACAAGGTAATTTCCTTCCTGAATTCGCTCTGCTTGATTCTGATTATTAGATGGGAGAAAGATCTGAACTTGGGCGACTGGTGCCGTGGCGCGTGCAGCTGAAGAGCTGTTTCGGGTACGACATGTTCTTCGCGGTGGACGTCCGGAGGTTCGGCGACGGCGGGATCTTCATCGGGAACCTGCGTAAGGCCGTTGAGGAGGTGCGGCCTAAGCTGGAGAAGAAGATCTCCGAGGCTGCTGGAACAGAGGTCACCCTCTGGTTCATGGAGGAGAACAACGACGACATCACAAAGCAGGTCTGTATGGTTCAGCCCAAGGCAGAGATCGACCTCCAGCTCGAGATCACCAAGCTGAGCACGCCGTGGGGATACCTCAGCGCCGTGGCGTTGGCAGTCACGACCTTCGGGACGATCGCGCTCATGAGCGGCTTCTTCCTCAAGCCCGGCGCCACGTTCGACGACTACGTCTCTGACGTGCTTCCTCTGTTCGGCGGCTTCCTCACGATACTCGGGGTCTCTGAGGTGCGGCGGTCGGCGGCACAATCTCCGGCCTACTGTGCACAGCTGCTTGTGATTGTTTTCGCTGCGTTTGTGGTGCTCTGTTGATGATGATCATGTGATGTCAGATCGTGACGAGGCTGACGGCGGCGAAGTACGGCGTGAAGCTGAGCCCGTCTTTTCTCGTGCCGTCCAACTGGACGGGGTGCCTCGGCGTGATGAACAACTACGAGTCGTTGCTGCCCAACAAGAAGGCCCTGTTCGACATACCAGTCGCGCGCACGGCCAGTGCGTACATCACGTCGGTGGTGCTGGCCGTCTCGGCGTTCATCGCCGACGGCAGCTTCAACGGCGGCGAGAACGCCCTGTGAGTTCCTGCATGCAACCATCATCGCTCGTGTCTTCTGTTCGTTCGTGACACTGACACCCGTTTTGGTCGAGGCGGAGAGATCTGACTGACACAGACACTGGTTGTAACTGCAATGGCGTTCAAGTTCGTGCGGCCGGAATTCTTCTACAACAACCCGCTGCTGTCGTTCGTGCAGCTGGTGATCGGCCCGTGCTCCCGAACGCGGTGGAGGGCGTGGGCGTGCCCGTGGACCCGCTGGCGTTCGCGGGGCTCCTGGGCATCGTGGTGACGTCGCTGAACCTGCTCCCGATCGGGCGGCTGGAGGGCGGGCGCATCGCGCAGGCGCTGTTCGGGCGCGGCACGGCGGCGCTGCTGTCGTTCGCCACGTCCGTCCTGCTGGGCGTGGGCGCCATCAGCGGCAGCGTGCTGTGCCTGGCGTGGGGCCTCTTCGCCACCTTCATCCGCGGCGGGGAGGAGATCCCGGCGCAGGACGAGATCACGCCGCTCGGCAACGACCGCTTCGCGTGGGGGTTCGTGCTCGCCCTGGTCTGCCTCCTCACGCTCTTCCCCAACGGCGGCGGCACCAACTCCACCTCCTTCCTCGGCGACCCGTTCTTCAGAGGCGGCATCTAGACGGACTGAATTGATCTCCTTCCGTGTATTTAGAGAATTTTCGAGAGTTGTCAAATTTTATTTGGCAAATCTTATGATTTGCCAACTCCTAAAATTATATGCCAAGTATAAAAACAATCCATCTTTAAGAGTTTGGCATTTTTTACTTTAAAATAAAAAAACCCGTTAACAAAACGAAGAGGCCAGCTAAGCGAACGAAGAGCCCCACTAAGCAAACGAAGAGCCCCGCTAAGAAACGAAGAACCCCGGATGCCAAGCCGTATACGCGCGCGGAAGGAAGATTTGCCAAGTTGCTATTGATGCCAAGCTGTTTTGCCAAACTGTTGGAGGCTATTTTTTTTTATTTTACCAAAATTATATGGATACCAAGTTGAGATAGCAAATTTTTGGAGATGCTCTTATAAAGTTATAAGAGCATCTCCAAGAGTTTGTCAAATTTTACTTGACAAATCTTGTGATTTGCCAACTCCCAAAATTATATGCCAAGTAAAAAAACAATCCATCTCTAAGAGTTTGGTATTTTTGACTTGGTAAAATAAAAAAACCCGTTAACAGAACGAAGAGCCCCGCTAAGAAACGAAGAGCCCCGGATGCCAAGCCGTATACGCGCGCGTATATTTGCGCGCGCGGAGGGAAGATTTGTCAAGTTGCTATTGATGCCAAGTTGTTTTGTCAAACTGTTGGAGGCTATTTTTTCTTGTTTTGCCAAAATTATATAGATATCAAGTTAAGATAGTAAACTATTGGAGATGCTCAGTACTCTAGGCTAATAGCCACTCTACTAACCACTCACCACTCTGCAGTTTTCACGGTTAAAATCTTTCTTGCGAGGTAGGAGTAGATCTCTTCACGTATTGTGTAATATAATGAGCATTATATAAATAATAAACAGTTTTTAATCTATATAAATAAAATAGTTAGCTGGTTCGGCACATCTCAATCCTCAAGAAGACAAACTTTTTTAGTTTAGCCAAATATATAAAAACTATTAACATTTATCATTAGATTAGATTGATCAAAGAATATGGTCTTATAATAAATTTATTTAGAGATATAAATATTGATACTATTTTTTATATCTAATTAAATCTTAAAAAATTGATTCCTCAAAAGAAAAACGAGAGGTGAACTTGTTTTGGACGAAGGAAGTACTATATAACTATATATATAGTTGTTTTCGGAGAGCTTTTGTGCTTCGTCTTACTATTTAGTTGCCGTAGCGAAGGCATTGTACCGTGTAATTCGTAAAAAAAAAATCTACTAAGTAGGTTGATACTGAGTAGACAGTGTCACGAGAGGATCCTAGACTTTCAATACATAGGAATTTCACTGTGATTTTCTTCTTTAGAGCTTGTTTAGCTGTATTTGTATTGACCTTAATTTACTGCAACACATGTAGATTTTGGTAAATAAGAGTGTAGTCAAACAAGGCTTTACAAACAAGACAGTTAAATCGGTATAAGGGCGTTTGCAATGGCGTTACTAGGCTGTTCTTATGTAATAAATGTGACGACAGAATCCGTTCCTTTACGCTATGAGCCTGATTCTATGGAGAAGTCGTTCTCTTTACACCGTTAGCTTGATTCTATGAAAACTATAACTCCTCTAAACTTTAGAAACAAGGTAAACTCTACCTTCGTTTTAAACAAGCACGAACAAAATCAGAAAGCTAAATAAAATTAAATTAAAATCATAATTAGACTTTTAAACGGGGTAAGAATATAAGAGTATCTCTAAGAGTACCTAAAAAAAATACTTCCTAAAAACTGGTTTTTTAACCTTCCCAAAACATATTGGGAGAAAGAAAAACAACAACTCCAACGATTCTCCAAAATTGGATTCCAAAACTTCATCTTCTTCTCAGCACCCCAATCTGCTCGTCGTCCAGACTTGCATCGTGCGCGTCGGCGAGCGTGTAGGGGTGGAGTACGGCCGCCGCGAGCAGGTCGGCGCGGCCCCGGCACAGTGTCGCCGCGCGCAGCCCATCATGATTCATGAGCAGCCGGCCGGACTGCCGGGTGCCGGGTGCCGGCCGTGGGCTTTGGAGAGCCACGAGCAGTGCTCTGCTCCAAGTCTCCACCGATCTAGGAGTGCTAGGAGTGATAGAAAGTCTCTGCGGAGATCATGGATGCATGGACCTGCGTGCGCTTTGTGGCCTGGAGTTCTCACTCGTACGTCTGGTGGGTCGCGCACAGCCGTGCCAACGTCGGGCTCAAGCGCGAGGAGGTCGTCGCGCGGCACATGGCCACCTACGTCGCCTCGCCGTCGCCGGCCGCGGTGGGGCGCTCTCCGGCGCAGCAGCGGCAGCAGCACGCGCCCGCGGGCTGCGCCATCTGCCTGTCGGACTTCACGGACGACGAGAGGATCTGGGTGCTCCCTGTGTGCGGTCAGTTCCACGTCGTGTGCATCAAACAGACCGCTCGTCTCGCACTGCTCCTGCGGTCCTGCCCGACATGCCGCCGCCGCCTCTCCTCGGAGTCAGTCGTATGCAAAGCAGAAGAAGGTGCTCCCAAGGAGGATACGCGCGAGAGCGCTTGCGCGTATCTTTACGCGTGTTGGCGTCGTTTTTCCTTAAGTCCTCGGAGATTGGGAGGTGTGATTAGAAGTCGTTGAAGATGTATTTTTTAATTTTATAAAAAATCAACGGATTAGGAGAGTGTTTTTGAAAATTCTTGGAGAGGTTCTAAGGGCAGGTATATTGCTACACGTCAACGGTCTCGTACGTCGTCCCATGCAGTGCCACGTAGGATTTTTGCTGATGTGGAGGAAAGTGACGTAGACAAGGCCCGATCTTCCGAAAGGTATGATAGCGTCGATTGGTGGAGACTCGACGTTCACGATCTAGGCTTTGAACCAAGACTGATTTGGACCCCCGCAACTGTTACACCACTGCTCCATTGGATATCAACTACGCGAACGCGATTGACCTCGCCGAGAAAGCTTTCCTGTAAGTTAATCGAGAACACAAACAAGAACGGAATGAACGCAATCTGAAATTGCAAATAGATATGAGGCTTATGAAAACAAAAAAGAGTTCAAGTCTTTATTCGAAAGGACTAATCGCCATAGGCGAACAAGATCAAGAACTGGGGCCCTAGCTCACAGCAAGCAGCCTTGGCGGCACAGTTGTAGCAAAACGATATCTGTTTCACAAGGAAATCAAGAACTAAACAAAACCCAAACCCTAAGGAGAGCGACGGCTGCTATGTATAGTCTTGGGCGTCACCCCCCTGGACGCGCTCCTTAATGGGCCCAAATACGATACACGGTCCAACGGACCAAAAGACGGCGTCGCAGCACCCTGGCAGATTCTGGACGCTGACTTGTTTCGACAATTCCCGTTGATTCTGAAGGTCTTTTGACGTGAGACCACTTGGATTGGCTTCCTTATCAAATTAGCTTTTTAACCATATGTGGATCGTTGAAAACGGAGCCCGAATGTGTCCTGTGTGACCAATTTAAGGCAGACTGATCCTGGAACCCGAGATGGGCTCCAACTTCAGTTGGACTGGGCCTCCACCGTGAGAAAGATGAATTGGACGCCCATGCTGGACCTCCTCCTCTCCTTGGCTTGTATGTGATGAAGAAGTGATGTCCTCATCATCCTCCCTTTCTTGAATTGAAGTCATCCTCGACTGAAGTAGATTGTCTCCTCCATTAGATGACAGCAACGATGGCTCCAGAAGAAGACGTTCATCTTGGCGCCCAATTCTTCGCAAAGGTGGCTGCCATGGTGGCCTCCCTGTTGGGAATTCATCCTCCTCCTGCAAAAGGTTAGTACCAATAAGAGGCATAGCACTAGAAGCAGGATCAAGTGGAGATATAGGCGATGTACAAGTTAAAGCATAACATGGTTCATCATGATCAGTAAGAACAGATTTAAGAGCAAATAAAACTTCTTTCATGTTACTTGATGGTTTATTTGTTGGTTTGCTAAAGTCTTTATCATAGCCTTTCTTTTTCTTTTCAGCAAGTTCCTTTTCATATTGCACAATTTTAGCAGGAGTTAAAGGAAGTAAAACAATGATCATTCCCTTAAACATAAAAGTATATCTATTTTGCCTACCATGATGTAGAACATTATTATCATATTGCCAAGGATGGTCTAACAAAAGTGAACAAGCTTGCATAGGCACGACATCAAAATCAGCATAATCATGGTATGATCCGACAGAAAAATGCACACGAGCAGATTGTGTTACCTTTATCTTACCACTATTGTTGAACCACTGAACATGGTATGAATGTAGAAGAGCACGTGTAGATAAACCAAGGGTCTTGACAAGCTCAGAACTTACCAAGTTATTGTTGCTCCCTCCATCAATTATAGCACGAACACGGAAATTATTGACAATAAGGAACATTTGAAATAAATTATGGCGTTGTAGCTTGTCTACTGGCTCAACTTGTGTACTCAAAACATGCTGAACAAGGATTAATTTGTAGTTTGCAGTGCATGCCACACTATCAATTACCTCATCAGGATCTTCAGCACTATCCGCAAATTTATCTGCATAAAGATCAGTTGCAAGTGCAAATTTATTCTCTTCATCACTAGCACTAGCATACCCACCATCATCAGTAGCAATATATGCGCATTTGCTAGGGCATTCTTTAGCAATATGTTCCATTCCCTTACAGCGGTGGCAAACAATTTTAGAAGAGCTGCTAGAGGAATGTGTAGCAGATCCACTGAAAGATGGTGTGATAGAAGAATTCTTCTTTACAGGCGCCGGTGGTGTCTGCACATTAGAAAATTTACTCACCTTGGTTGGACGTGAAGGAGTGGACGAAATCGTGGAACACCTAGGTTGTTGTACCTGTACTTACCTTTCAGCTTTAAGAGCATAATGATATAATTGGGAAAATCTAGTCCATTCTTTATAGTCAAGAACATCTTGTATTTCACGACGCAAACCTCCAAAAAATCTAGAACACCTATCCATTTCATCCTCTTGTATGTTACTACGTGCTAGACCAATAAAAAGCTCCTGATAATA